CCTCCTCCTTCGCCTCCTCCCCTCCTCCTTCTCCTCCTCCTCCTCCTCCTCCTTCTCCTCCTCCTCTTCCTCCTCTCCTCCTCCTCCTCCTCCTCCTCCTCCTCCTCCTCCTCCTCCTCCTCCTCCTCCCCCTCTTTTCCTTTCTCCCCCTCCATCCCTCCTCCTCCGCCTCCTTCCCCTCCGCCTCCTCCTCCTTATCTACCTCCTCTTCCTCCACCACCGTTTCCTTTTCCTCCTCCTCCTCCTCCTCCTGCGCCTCCTCACATCATCATCATCATCATCATCATCAGCATCATCAGCATCCTCTCCTCATCCTATCTCATCCTCCTCCTCCTCCTCCTCCTCCTCCCTCCTCCCTCCTCCTCCTCCTCCTCCCCTCCTCCTCGTCTCCTCGTCCTCCCTCGGCTCCTCGTCCTCCTCGTCCTCCTCGTCCTCCTCGTCCTCCTCCTCCTCCTCCTCCTCCTCCTCCTCCTCATCATCATCTCATCATCAATTCATCATCATCGACATACTCATCATGCATCATCAGCGAGCATCATCATCCCTCATCCTCATCTCATCCTCATCCTCAATCGCTCATCCTCATCCTCCTCTTCCTCCTCCTCCTCCCTCCTTCCCTCCTCCTTCCTCCTCCTCCTCCTCCTCGCCTGCCTCCTCCTCCTCCTCCTCCTCCTCCTCCTCCCCCTCCCCTTCCTCAGCCTCCTGTTCCTCCTCCTTTCTCCTCCCTCCTCCCCCTCCCCCATCTCCCTCCTCCTCCAATCCTTATCTGATATGAGCAACTCCTTGTTTTCGCACCCCGAGGCCAGTCGACAGGGCGGACCAGGCGTTTCGCCTGAGACTCCCTCACCACTCATGATCCTGAAACTTACAAGTTGCAACATCTTCACTGGTGGAAGGCTGGTCGTTGCAAAAGTGTGGTTATCGATTTAGCGCCGCGCACATCCGTCGGACATAGCTGCGAGAGTATCACGGATGGAATGCAAGTCGTTTTCACAATGTAGCTGACGCCTTAACGCCGCGCACATCCGTTTTACATAGTTGCGAGAATGTCAAATGGAGGTCAGGACGTGTTCAAACTGTAGCTCTCGCCTTGGCACCGCGCACATCCGTCTCAGAATTGTGCAAGGTCTTCACGGATGGAGGGCGGGTTGTTTTCAAAAGGTTGCTTCCGCCTCTGCACCGCGCACATTGAATCCCACCAGGCCTTTGGGCGTCGGTGGTTTAGGGAGTTTCCTCTTCCACCCCTCCTTCTTCCCCTTCGGGGAGGGGTTTATCACTGTTCCCTATTAATAAACACCCCCTCCCCCAGGCGACTGGGGGCCAACCCGAGTCCATGTCGACACACCCCCCACCATCCCTTATAAAAAGCCATACATAACACACTCTGCCTCCAAATTCGGAACATGCGCAGCCAACCCGATGCGCCCCCCCCCCCGCCACCATCCCTGTCAAAAAAACGATACAGTGTACACTTGGCGGCGGCGGCGGCGGCGGCTGCGGCGGCTGCGGCGGCTGCGGCGGCTGCGGCGGCGGCGGCGGCGGCGGCGGTGGCGGCAGCGGCGGCGTCTGCGGCGGCGGTTTGGCAGCGGGGGGCGGCGGCGGCGGCGGCGGCGGCGGCGGCGGCGGCGGCGGCGGCGGCGGCGGCGGCGCGGGGGGGCGGCGGCGGCGGGGCAGCGGCGGCGGCGGCGGCGGCGGCGGCAGCGGCGGCGGCGGCGGATTGGCCCCCAGTAGCTCCCCATCCCAAGACGACTGCTGAAAATGCTGAGGCTCGGGCCAGACTCGGGTGTTACGTATGTGTTGGGAGGGCGGGTGGGGGTGAGCGAGACGGCTTGCGGGCGGGGAGGGGGTAACTTGACCCCTCCCCCTACCCCCCCCCCCTGGACCTGGACGGGGGGGCTCGCGAGGTGTCAGGGCGTCCAAACGGCCTCGGCGAGGAAGTCAAAATCATCGGTTTTACACAGGTGTTGGCCCCATTTTGGCTTCCTGATGGGGGGACCCCAATTGAAGCCCCCCTCTTGTTTGATCGATCTCCCCCAAGATGGCCCCAAGAAGCGCCCAGGAGGCCCCAAGAGGTCCCAAGATGGCCCCGGGATGGCCCCAAGAGGCCCCCAAGAGGCCCCCAGGAGGCCCCCGACAGGATCCCAAGCGGCCCCAAGCGGCCCCCCCGAAGCACCCAAAACGCCGAAGAGCCCCCCACGACCGCCAAGAGACCCCCAAGACGTCCCAAGAGGCCACCAAGAATCGCCCAAGAGATACCCCAAGGGGCTCCGAGAGGCATCCAAGAGACCTCTGGCCCTTGTGTTTGCCCTCCTCCTCCTCCTGTTCCTCCTTCCTCCTCCTACTCCTTCTCTTCCTCCTCCTCCTCCTCCTCCTCCTCCTCCTCCTCCTCCTCCTCCTCCTCCGCCTCCTCCTCATCCTATTCATCCTCCTTTTTCCCACTCCCTCTTCCATCCATCCATCCACCTCCTCCTTCTCCTCCTCACTCCTTTGCGCGATTCGGCCGTCCCCTCTTTGCTGCCGCATTTCCCTGATCACCTCAACTCGCCTGGACATCGTTTCTGGATGGGCTGGTGGGTTTTTGTTAGCAGCCGAAGGCGAGCGCGCCAACGGCGAGTAGAAACTGGTGGGGGTGTTTTTCGGTCGCGTCCGCTAGCGAAGGCGCTAGTGGAGTCAGGAGCGCTACGGGTCACGACAGCGGCCTAATTAGCAGCCAAACGCGCCGCGAGCCGGCCCACTCATACAGCAGCGGCTGACTGCGCGGGAGGAGCGGCAAGCTGGGGGCGTCCAGGGTGCTCGAGCACTTGCAACACGGCAAAATGTTGGCGAATTCAAGAAGTGCCGAGTGGCAAAACCCGAAGGAGCGTGAGGACGATAGCTGTTGGCTGCGTGTCCAAGATGCCGTCGGAGTGCCCAGACGTGGTAAGCGATGGGCCGTCGCAAGTGGGGCGCCAAGCCCAGGCCGGGCCAACGGCGTGTGCACTGGTGGGGATATTTTTTTCGGTCGCGGCCGCGAGACGACGGTCAGGCGGCAAGAGCAATGTCCGGGACGCGAACTAGGCGAATTAGCTAGAACAGGCGCAAGCTGGCCGACTGGTGGGGATACGCGAAGCGTCTAGAATTTCGAAAAGGGGTCACGGATGGAGGGCGGTCCCTTTTCAGAATGCGGTTCTCGCCTTAGCGCCGCACACTTTCTTTTCAAGAGCGGACACAAGTCCAGAAAAATCTCACCGTGAGGAGGTAGGAGGAGGAGGAGGAGGACGACGACGACGACGATGAGGAGCAGGAGGAGCGAGGAGGCGCCTCAGGAGGAGCCTCAGGAGGAGCCTCTGGAGGAGCGAGGAGGAGAAAGAACTCCTGCCGACGCCCGAGCTGGCCCCTCCCGGGCAATGCTCAGTCCGCGCGGGCGCACCCCTCTGACATAGCTGGCCAAGAGCCGGCGCCCTTGATCGGGCCGCGACTCGCGTGCGCGGCCCGCCAGGCTCGGCGCGTGCGAGGGCCCTCTGAGGGGCAACGTCAGGGGCGGACTGGCCAGGGGGGGGACCGCTGAGCTGGAATCGGCGACGCATCGCCGTCAGGTCGGCGATGGGCCTCCGATAGCGAACCCGCACTGTCCTGGGTCGGGTGGGCTATCGGGCCCCTATCGACGATGGATGGGCGATTGAGGGCCATGCATCTACCCCTGAGCATATCGCCCCTAGCGTTGCCCCTGAGCCCCGGGGATGCCCCGGCTGCGAGCACCTAGAGGAACATATCGGCGTCAGCCTACAGCAGGTTCGTGTCGTGACGACCCTGGCGGTGGTTTCTGATACCTCATGGGTCGTTCAACCTTGGACAATCGGCGGGTTCTCGATCGCTGGATCTTCGCATGTTGGCCGATTCTGGACACCAGCGGCGTTCAGCCTTGAACGCCCGCGGCGTGGTCGTCGCCGCGTCACACGACGTGAACCTGCCGTAACCATTGCGAGCTCTGCGTGGACTTCTTGGAACGGCGCTGCACCCCCTTCCCTGGCGAGCGGAGCGCGCCTGGGGCGGCGCCAGAGGTGCTGCTGGGGGAGGGAGGGGGCATCGCCGATCCGAGAAGTCCGCGCAGACCTCGGAAAGCTGATGTTTAGGCCGATGGCCACTGGCGATGCCGTGCACACCCATGCTGGCCAGAAGTGGCACCCCTGCCCTGCCACGCCCCGGGCGTGCGTCGTCCAGGCTCGTCGGCGCCCATAGGGCCCTGGCAGACGAGAGGGTAGGATGCGAACAGGCCAGGCACGAACACCGCTCGGGAGCCTCTGAGAGCTGGCGGGGCCCAGAGGGTGCGTCAGGCGCTGTGGCCGCTCTGGGCCGCTCCGGGCCCTGGAGTCGAACAATTACACAAGTCGGCCTACTTCTTCATCCTCTTCCTCCTCAGGCTCAGCATCATCATCATCATCATCATCATCATCATCATCATCATCATCATCATCATCATCATCATCAGCATCAGCATCAGCATCAGCATCATCATCATCATCATCATCATCATCATCATCATCATCATCATCATCATCATGAGCATCAACATCATCTTCATCATCAGCAGCAGCATACTTATCAGCAGCAGCAGCAGCAGCAGCATCAGCATCAGCATCAGCATCAGCATCATCATCATCATCATCATCATCATCATCATCATCGTCGTCGTCGTCGTCGTCATCATCAGCAGCAGCAGCATCGGCATTAGCATCATCATCATCATCAGCAGCAGCATCATCCTCATCATCAGCAGCATCAGCATCGTCATCATCAGCATCATCAGCAGCATCAGCATCAGCATCAGCATCAGCATCAGCAGCAGCATCATCAGCAGCAGCATCATCATCAGCAGCATCATCCACAGCATCAGCAGCAGCATCAGCATCATCATCATCATCATCATCATCATCATCAGCAGCAGCAGCAGCATCCTCATCATAATCCTCCTCCTCCTCCTCATCATCATCATCATCGTCATCATCAGTGTCATCATCATCATCATCATCATCATCATCATCATCATAAGCATCAACATCGTCTTCATCATCATCAGCATCAGCATACTCATCATCGTCATCATCATCATCATCATCATCATCATCATCGTCATCATCATCATTGTCCTGCGCCTCATCCCCCTCTTCATGATCAGCATCATCATCATCACCACCACCACCACCACCAGCATGATCGTCATCATCACCACAACCATCATCAGCAGCATCAGCATCATCATCATCATCATCATCATCATCATCATCATCATCATCATTATCCTCCTCCTCCACCTCCCCCTCCTTCTCCTCCTCGTCATCATCATCATTAGCATCATCAGCATCATCATCATTATCTTCTTCCTCCGCCTCCTCCTCCTCCTCCTCCTCCCATGAGTGATTGAATTCCTTCCTGGGAGATGCGAGGGGGAGAACACGAGGTGGATCTGTAGGGTCACCCTGGTCCGTGGACCGCTCGAGGAGGGATCTGGAGCGCCTTGGAGCGACTTGCTCACATCCCTCGGCCGCCTGGGAATCACACGGCCATGTCCATCTTGATGGTGCCATGCGGGCTGTAGCCCACGAGCTCGAAGTCGCTGGCCTGGAAACTGTCGATGTCCTTGATGTCTGGGTTCACCTTCAGGATCGGGAACGGACGCGGAGTCCGCTCCAACTGCGTCTTCAGGGGCTCGACGTGGTTCTCGTAGACGTGCGCGTTCCCCAAAGTGTGGATGAACTCTCCCGGCTGCAGGCCGCAGACCTGCGCCATCATGTAGGTCAGCAGGGAGTAGGACGCGATGTTGAATGGGACGCCCAGGCCCATGTCGCAGGAGCGCTGGTACATCAGGCACGAGAGCGCGCCGTTGGCCACGTAGAACTGGCAAAACATGTGGCAGGGCGGCAGGGCCATCTCGAAGAGGTCGGCCGGGTTCCACGCCGAGAGCAGAATCCTCCGGTCGTTCGGGTCTTCCCTGATCTTCCGGATGCACTCCGCCAGCTGGTCCACGCCCTTTCCAGTGTAGTCGGTGTGCATGTCCACGTACTTGGCCCCAAAGTGGCGCCACTGGAAGCCGTAGACGGGTCCCAGGTCCCCCTCCTCGCGGTGGGACAGCCCGCGCTTGTCCAGGAACTCGCGCGAGCCGTTGGCGTCCCAAATCTTCACGCCCTTCTCGGACAGGTGGTTGGCGTTCGTGTCGCCCTTCACAAACCACAGCAGCTCCTCGAGGACGCCGCGCCAGAACGTCCTCTTCGTCGTCAGCAGTGGGAAGCTCTTCCTGAGGTCGAAGCGCATCTGCTTACCAAACATCGATCTGGTGCCCACTCCGGTGCGCTCGTCGGTTGGCACGCCCTTCTCGATGATCTCACGAATGGCGTCGAGGTACTGGTACTCCTCGTGCAGCAGCTGCCCTGCACCGCCCATGGCAGCCAGCGCTGGCGACGGGTTCTCTTTCATGGCCGCCATAGCTTTCTGCTCGTACACGATAAAATCGTACGGCAGGCCGTCGTGACTGGACGTCTTGCTCAGATGTACCACCTGGAACTTGGTGGCATCGAACGCTGGGAAGAATGCATCGCAATCGAGGTCCTTGCCGACGCGTGTCATGAAGATATAGCGGCAGTTGGGCAGCTCGACCGCCTCCTCGTACGCGGCCTGGCCTCCGATCACGAATATGTCGGCCACATCCTGGCGCTCCGCAAGCTCATCGACGGCGTTCGCGACAGACGATGCCACCAGCACGCCCGCAGGATAGCGCCGCTCGGACGACTGGTCAGCAACGGTGCGCGTCAGCACTACATTGAGCCGCCCGGGAAGAGGCCGAAACTTGCTCGGGATAGACTCCCACGTCTTGCGGCCCATGATGACGGCGTTGAGCTTGCCCGCGCCCACGTCATCCGGCAAAGCCCTGGCAACATCAACCAACATTGAACAAGAAATCGGATCGAATCGAAATGTGCGTCGGAGTGGGCCGCATCGGCACGGAGCCAGAATCGTATCGGACCAGCCGCGCCATGAAAGCTGAAATCGGATCGCATCGGGCCGGCCGGAATCGACATCGGACCAGGTCGACCGGAACGAAATGGGCGCTGCCTTGGAAAAAACAACAAGTACCGATACCGCTACTCCTGGGGTGCGTTCTAACCAGAACTTCGAAGCGGATCCAGCCGTGGTGGGGAGGGCCTCCCAGGCAGCCCAAAAATAGCGCAAACGAGGAAACGGTGGCGGCACTGGTACCTTTCAGTCCTCTGATGCCTCGTGACCCGCTTGAAGTGCGCCATGTCCTCGGGCAGGCTCCACGGCAAGGCACCATCTCGGCCAATGCCTGAGGGGCACGTCAGGGGTGGGGGACCAGCTCGGGGGGGAAACACCGACCTGGAATCGGCGACACATCGCCGATAGATCGGCGATGGGCCTCCGATAACGAATCCGCACGGTCCTGGGCGGGATAAGCTATCGGGCCCCTATCGGCGATAGACGGGCGATTGGGTGTCGATGAATCCACCTCTGAGCAGATCACCCCGTAACGTTGACCCGTGTGCCTCCCCTCGGCGTGCTCGCCACGACGACGGACACGGAACGCATGGCTGCCCCAGCCATGATGCCCGTGCGCGCGAGCGGCCCCGTGAGCAAAGCCAGATCTTGAAACAAAGCAAAACGACTTGAGCCAAAACGGCTGTGGAGACGGTGCGGCAGCAGGATAAAGAGGAGGCAGGGTAAGGAGGAGGAGGCGGATAACGAGGGCGACGGGGGAGGAGCGAAGAGACATGATAGAGGACAAGCTGGGTGCGCTCGCGCCATATCTGACATCCGTCCCCTCCCACCCGTCGCTTCCCATTGCGCTGTTTTCTCGATCCTCCGACGCGTATCATAGCCGACCTGGAACTTCAAAGAGGACCCCATCGTGTCATGCACAATCAGAAGAAAGGAGGAGGAGGTGGCGGATGAGCAGGAGGATGAGCAGGAGGATGAGCAGGAGGAAAAGGAGGAGGAAGAGGAGGAGAAATGAGGAAGGAGGAGGACGAGGACAAGGAGCCACAGCAGAAGCAGCAGCAGCAGCGAGAGCCGGGTGGAAGGAGCGGGAGGAGCAGGACGACCAGGAGAAGGCGGAGGAGGGGAAATGAGGGGGGGTGACAACGATGAAAAAGGACTCGAATTCAGAAAAGTGGCCAGTGCTGGGGTGAGAGCGCCATTCTGAACGACGGGAGCAAATCGCCGATGCGAAGATGAGACTCACGCTGAAGCGGGAGCACCATTTTGAAACACCGAACACAGTCGGATTGACAAAAAACATAGAAACACACATAATGCATTAAAATCCTGTATAAAACTACGCGGAGAGAGCCGAACATCTTCCGGACAGAGTCAGGGGAGGGAGGAGAGTAGTAGTCATAAGATGCACGTGGTGATGGGGAGGAGACGGAGACAAGGGTCCAGGAACCAGGATCCAGGACTAGGGTGAGGGGTCTGAGGTGTAGGGTCTAAGGACTAGGGTGTGTAGGGCACCAGGGGGTAAAAAAAAAATGCATGAGCATAAAATGTCGGAGGTCCCCCTCGTCCCAAAGATGGGGCAGGAGTATGGCCCATCTTGAGGGAAGAGGAGGAGCAGATTATGGGAACAAAGGCGCGAAGAGGAAGATCGAGGATCAAGGATCAAGCCTGGTCCTCCTGATCATCGTCCTCCTCTGTATCCGCCTTGTGAGTATCATTATCATCAGAATCATCATCAGAATCATCATCATCATCATCAGCATCATCATCAGCATCATCATCAGCACCAGCATCAGCATCAGTATCATCATCGCCAGCATCATCGGCATCACCAACATCACCATTATCAGCATCATCATCATCAGCATCATCATATGCATCATCATCACCATCATCACCGTCATCATCATCAGCATCCTCATCATCAGCAGCATCCTCATCAGCATCATCATCAGCATCAGCATCATCTTCGGCATCGTCATCATCGTCATCTGCAGCATCAGCATCAGCATCAGCATCATCAGCAGCAGCAGCATCAGCAGCAGGAGCATCAGCAGCAGCATCATCCTCATCAGCACCACCACCATCATCAGCATCCTCATCAGCATCATTCGCATCAGCATCATCATCATCATCATCATCATCATTAGCATCATCATCATCCGCATCATCATCATCATTATAAGCATCACCATCAGCATCATCATCATCGTCGCCGCCGCCGTCATCCTCATCACCATCATCGTCATCATCGTCATCACCAGCATCAGCATCAGCATCAGCATCAGCATCAGCATCATCATCATCAGCAGCAGCAGCAGCAACAGCATCGTCGTCATCATCGTCGTCGTCCTCCTCTGCTACCGACTGCTCCCTCCACCTCGCTGCCGAATCTGCTCCTCACTTCCCTTTCGCTACCGCATCGCTTCCCATCCATGGCCCTCTCTGAGTGGGTGCAAACATCTGCGCAACTGCAGCCACTTTTGCGAGGTCCAGCAGAGCGCGGTCCTACCCAAATCCAGAATAGAAATTGCCTGTCTGGGCGCTGCAAACTGTCGCCACATTCGCGTTCGTGTGCTCCTGAGATGTCAGCGGAATGCGGTCCTGCGCAGACCCAGGCGGGGCCTCTCTTTCCGTAAACGCTGCCAACTCCGCCCAGGAGCTCCAGGCGGTCAGCAACAATCTCCCTGAATTGGGCCCAACGGCCGTCCTTCGGACCCGCAGCAAAACCATCCAGGAGACAGGAAACCATTCCCTTGGTTTGGGCCAAACTGTCGTCCTTCGGGCCGAACATATGGAAGGACGCATGGGAAAAAGAGTGAGCTACTGAGAGATGGTAATTGCGTACTCCTCTGCCCACGCGTCTTGCAGATGCTCGACTCAGTGGTGGCGGTGGTGGTGACTTGGAAGCGATCCTTTGACTCTGGCCCAACTGTCGTCCTTCGGATCCGCAGGACAGCCATCCAGGTCACCGATAATCCGCCACCGTACCTCGCGGCATGAAGTGGAGTGTTCCCCAGACGTGTAGAGTCCACTGCACTCTGTACTCAATATTGTAATAATTCGGGGCAAGGCGCCCAAAATCACAGATCTTCTTGGCGCTCTCGCGCGCTCCCGGGCTTCCCCGCGTGACTTTTCCAGAGGCCCTAGGGCCCCTATGACGGGCCAAGAGGGCCCAAGAGGCCCCCAAGACGGTCCAAGATGGCCCGAGCCGCTCAAATATCGGTCAAAGACGCCCAAGATGACCCACAGACGGCCCAAGAGGCCCCAAGACACCCCAAGAGGGCTCCAAGAGGCCGCCCAAGAGAGCCCCGAGAAGCCAAAATCACGGATTTCCCTTGTGTGCTTGAAGGATGTTCGTGCTCTCGCCGTTTCGGGCTTTCAACGCTCCAAGACTGCCCAAGAAGCCCCCAAGAGCGCTCCCAGACGGCCCATGATGGAACCACGACGACCCAAGAGGCCCCCAAGATGACCCAATAGGCCCCAAGAGGGGCAAACAGAGGCCCCAGAGGGGAAACACGAACCGACATTTCGAGTCCTTCGCCCCGAGATGGCCCCCGAACCGCCAGCAGGCCCCCAAGAGGTCCTGAAGAGGCCAGAACCAGGCCCCAAGAGGCCCCTAAGAGCCCCGAGAGGCCCCCAAAACAAACCAAAGCCAAATCCAAGAGGCATCCGAGAGACCACCCAAGAGATCTCAACAGGCATCCCAGAGGCCTCTGACCTACAACCCAGGGACGGTGGCGGGATGGGCCGAAGGCCACTAGACAGTTCCCTTCATTTTGGCTCAGCGATCGTCTTTCGGACCCACAGGCGCACAGACGAGGACTGGCAGGATTGGCACTCGGACCCTCAGGCGCAGTCCTGGAGGCGCAGCCTTGTAGAGCAATTTCTGAGCGATCTGTCGGATGCCTGCCTTCAAGGGGGAGATACGCGCCGATTCTCCGAATGGCGTTCCGAGGCAGCGCGCAGCGCGCGGTCTGATGCGTTTCGTGGTGTTGGATGCGACGTCCCCAAGAAGGACATGCTCGCCAATCTCCCCCTCATCTGCGAACGCCATGTCTTCTCCTCCTCCTCCTCCTCCTCCTCCTCCTCCTCATCATCATCATCATCATCATCATCATCATCATCATCACCATCACCATCACCATCATCATCATAATCAGCATCATCATCATCATCATCATCATCATCATCATCATCATCATCATCATCATCATCATCATCATCATCATCATCATCATCATCATCATTCTCGCTGTAGTCCTTCTGTCCCTGCCCATTTCCTCTCCTTTAGTGTCGCGTCATGTTGGGCGTGCAGAGAACAGGTTCCTCGCGTATCTCTGAAATGATCACTTGTCTTGGATGGGCCCGTCGATACTGCCAGGCGTGATAGATGGGCTGCGTACGTTCGTGGATACTTGTGCGTCTGGGGCCACTTGGGAGGCGTGTGGGTCCTCCGGAGGCCCCTGGACGCCCCTGGAGGCCCCTGGAGATTCTCGGGGGAGACTGGAGACACCCACAGGCCCTATCAGACCTCCTCCCCCTCCTCCTCCTCCTCCTCTCCTCCTCCTCCTCCTCCTCCTCCTCCTCTCCTCCTCCTCCTCCTCCTCTTCTCATCCTCCCCCTCCTCCTCCTCCTTCTCCTCCTCCTCCTCCCCTCCTCCTCCCCCTCCTCCTCCTCCGATGACGACGACGACGACGACGACGTCTCACGACACGACGACGGTGAAGACGACGAAGCTGGACGACGGCGGACGACGGCGACAAGGAAGACGGACGCCCGACGACCGACGACCGATGACGACGACGGCGACGACGGACGACGGAAGACAGGCGACGGACATCGACAAAGGCGGAGGCAGCGACGAGGCCACCTGGGCGTGGAGGCCGCGCCGATCGGCAGCCCCGGCACCGGCCCACGAGTGGCGGCGGCCCCAGCGCCTCCGCCGCCCGTCCATGTCGTCGTCGCCGCCACCACGTTTTACCGCCGCTGTCATCGATTCTTTCGCCGTTATTTTTGTCGTCGTCGATGTCGTCGTCAGCGTCGTTTTCCGTCACCTGTTGTCCGTCGTCGAATGTTCGTCGTCAGTCATCAGTCAGGCGTATCGTCGTCGTCGTCGTCCGACGTCCGACGTGCGTCGTAATCGCCGTCACCATCATCTCCCTTCCTCGTGCATTCCCCTCACCCCTCCTCCTCCTCCTCCTCCTCCTCCTCCTCCTCCTCCTCCTCCTCCTCCTCCCGCTGGTCCACGTGTCTCCCCGCCACCTCTGCTGTCAGGGGAATAGGACGCAGAGGGAGGGAGGGCTGTGGGGAGAGGGGGGCAGACCTCCGACGACGTCGTCGTCCGTCGTCATCATTGCCGTCGCCATCGTCGTCGCCGTCGGCATCGTCGTCGTCCGTCGCCTGTCGTCCGTCGTCATCCTTGTCGGCGGCGTCGTCGTCAAAGTCGTCACCGTCCGTCGCCGTCGTCGTCCGCTGTCGTGTTCCGTCGCCTGTCGTCCGCCCTCCGTCGTTCGACGTCCGTCGTCCGTCGTCCGTCGCCACCGTCGTCGGCGGCGTCGTCATTTTCGTCGTCGTCGTCGTTTCAGCGAGGAGACCCTCGACGTCTGGTCGCCTCCTCCTCCTTGGTCCGTCATCCCCAAACCTCCCCGTGTCGTGCCAAAACATTACGGACGGTTTGTCCAAAC